AGACCAACGATTCAAAGAATCACAGCACAGAGTGCTCAAGATGATTTACCTTCACATGCATTGCTAGGCTCTTAACAATCTAAAACACTTCATTCGGCAAGTGCCTTGACATATTAAAAGGGAAACTGAACTTCATTTCTTTTTATCTAAAATGACTCCTTAGATGAACGTACTTCATCTAGTCATCAATGTTATAATGAAGACCTATTAAAAGATTTCGTAATTCGGTGACTGAAACATGTCAGTCCTCGACAATTGATATGGTGTTCGAATATCATCTTTCATGGGACTCCGTCCCTTGTGTAAACCATTCATGATATGTAAACCACACAACTTGTGTAAACCACAAATGTCACGTAAACCACACATGTGGTGTAACCCCGTTACACCCTCCCCCACGATACTGACGCTACCAGGAAACGTCTATCGAATTTTTGACCTCGAACATGTCGGTGTGTATGTCCTTTAACCTCACGGTTTGCCAAAACACTAAACACCATGGGATCGCCACCCCACGAGTCTCAGACTCTTTCCTGCTACCTCAACCTCGATGAGGAGGTGATCCATGGTAGCGAAACCAATGTCCATGGTGACGAAGGTACATTTTACAATCCACCTGTGCTTGAGGTGCGGCCTCTTACAGCACCCAGTCCGCTCGTTGAACGTGGTGAAACTACCGCGCCAGTGAAGCAGCATCATGCAACAGATTCCGGTAAACAAATCATCACCAACCCGCTCGACGAGCAGCAAGAGTTGATTTTTCTAAAGAGAAAAGTGCTCTTCGTCGCGCTCAGACCCAGACGGCCATTCAAAGCTGGAGCGGTTATGTGTTCATCACACCAGACGTGGCGGAAAGTCCCGGTCAAACGGAAGGCCGTAGCCTTTCAACATGGGACATCTACCCAGCAGCTTCGTCGCCTGAAGACATCGCCTTCCGCCAGGTACTGCACGAGTAGTATCTCAAACCCTTCTTGACCACACAAGGTCAATACAAGGCACACCTTGAGAGCCTAGCTCGTGGTTTTTCGGTTCGACCGATCAAGGGCGTGTCCTATTGTTATTCGCCGGTTAGTTACCTGAAGAGGAGGACAACCGGTTCATTCACTGGGTGTATTGCAAGCTACACCTCAGCCGTATAACCGCTCGAAGAGCAAGTGCCAATGTGACGTAATTTTCGTCTTGAACGAAAGCTTCGGTTCGAATAAGCCAAGCTTTAGGCCAGAGAACAATTGCGTAATCGTTCACGCTATGCTTCGACTACGCCGGTAGCCGCGGGTTCCGACCCTGCGGTGCGGAGCAACCCGCTACCTCCCACCGCTATTGGTGAGAAGCGCCCCCGGGCGCAGGGTGACACTGTCCACGATGTTTAAAAACATTCAGGACGTATGGGCAATCCTTAATAAGGGATATCTCATACCCACACGAGCTCTCCCACTCCGGATACCCACGCCACTTCACCACATACTGGTATTGTCCATGACTACGACGTCATTTCAGGAGTCGCTCCACATGGAACTGGGCGGTTCCCTTGATCATCGAGCAGGGTCGGAGGTGGTCGGTGTACCGGAGGAGGAGCATGAGAAGGTTCTTCTCAAGCTTAGTAATCTCCGTGAGACATTGGGTAAGACCCAGAGTGCGTTTGACGCGATGCGGGCCCGTGTCCAGGCATTGGAGTCGGGCCAAGCTCAGAGGGAGGCTCAGCTTGACCTCCTGATACGGATTCAGCAACCGATGGCGAGGCCAACCTATGCGGCGCAAGCGCCTCCAAGTTCACGTGGGACGGATAAAGATACGGCTTAAGCATGCCAACGTAGAACAAAGGGCGCGTGTGCAGTTTGCGCAGAATGTTGAGCGTATACGCAAGTCCCTCCTTCGCGACGACAGTAAATGACTCAATGAAGCGCAGACGCAACTTTGTCTTAAAGACGGCGGACACTACACGTGTAAATAAATTTTTAGTATTCAGTCGAACTTGGTCTCCGACCTCATAACGTTCAATACAAGCTCTGCATTTGGCATCAGCTTGTCGCTTCTGCTTGTCTTGGCTATCAGCCAGTGCGTCACGCACACGTAGTAAGACATTCAATCGCGTTGCGAGAGACTCACTTGTCTGTTTGTGAAGAGTAGCAGGGCTGATATCATCAAGCCGATCGGCAACTTCCCCCACCACAGGGAGCATGGAACTCCAATGTTTGGGTGTATTAGCGCAAACACTGCGTAATATGTCGCCGATAACTCGATTCATTCTCTCGGTTTGACCATCGGTCTGCGGATGATTTATTGTGGACATGTACAGCACTTTAAAAACAAACTGTTAAACTTCCAAAAAATCGAGGATTTTGGTCAGAGAAAATTGCCACAGGCAAACCGTGTTGTCGAAACACGCGATCGATAAACAGCGTAGCTGTACCTTCATCATCAATGGTATCCGGCACCGCCGCCAAGTGAGACATCTTGATCAAACGGGCAACAAAGACCACAATACCCGTATTGCCATACGAATCCTTCGATAATCCGAACAGGAAATTCATTCTGATGGACTTCCAGCACCCCTTGGGTACAATCAAACTAGCCAGCGGCGCGGACGCGTGAGGTGAGGGTTCCACTCGTTGACACGTTTCACACGTACGCACATAGGTGCTCACCCATTTGTACAGTTTGGGCCACGAATAGCATTGGCTAACTGAGCCGTAGGTCTTCTCACGACCGAGATGACCACTCAACGCAGTATCATGTGCCCCATAGAGGATCTGATACTTCAACGCTTCATCATGAGGGACAACGATGCGAGGGGTATCCTCTACATCCGTGCTATAGCACAACAGTACTTGATCGGTGGAATATCGATGTAGCCTCGCACGTAATCGTGCCGACTATTCTATGTCTGAGTCCTTAAACTTCTCGCACCCTAGAGCACGTAGTACAGCTATACAGTGTTCATCCATGGCATATGCCGTACGGATTAGGTCATTGACCGACGACGACAGAGTCGTGACATGAGCAAACTCATAGTCAGGCCTGCGTGATAGCGCATCAGCCAAAGCATTCTGCTTGCCCGACTTATACTTCCCGGTGGTCAACGCTTCCTTGTGGAGCGTATCTTCAACCACGGTGACAACTTAGGATCAGAACGAGTTACCTCGTCCAGTGGCGGGGGTATCCGCCCTCTTGAAACAGCTGAGATACCGCTCTAATCTGATGTTGGACGTGCCCGGTCTCGTCGAGAACTACGACGAGACACACCCTACGATGGAGGGCCATCGTCGTACGAGCCCCCGCCGCGTTCGTAAAGGCATTGCAAAGTCTCAATCCCTTGGTACATCTCGGACGAGATTTGCACCCTCCAATAGTACTGATTCGAGAGGTACGCCTCCCTAGAGGCGCGACCTGAGTTGTCAACACCACTCTGATACTTCGTTCCCCACGAGAGGCAAGGTAAATCTGACTCTCGAGACAAATCGGTGAAATTTAAACCGAGCACCGGTTGGCGACTTCTGCTCAACCTTTTGCGAGTGGCAGTAAGTTTGTCCAGTCAGCTTTACGGCCAACATTCTCAATGTTGTCGATAAAATAGTTTAATGCGTGCATCGACGAAATGTCGTCTCGGTTGCGGTGGCCGTGATACGATCGATGTCCGAAAAAGACATCGATGTAAAACTCATGTTCAATGCATAACCACTCGCACTGACATCAAGACCATGGAGGCTTGACGAATAGAGGAGTGGGATCCGATGGTTATCAGTAGTATAACCATATTACTGCTTCAGATTGCGTTGAGAAGGCATATATGGTTTATTTTCAGGAGCAGATATTAACGCATTGCGATCCTTCTCTTCTTGCGCAGTGCCAACACAAACAATGGTCTTACGGTCTCAACAATTACTGGGATTGATACGGCTTCGATGACTCCGTAAAGAGTCATCGGCATCATTACGATGACTAACTTCCGCATGTTTAGCACTAGCACCATATGAATGCGAGCGTGATCGGCTCGATCCCCGCGACGAGTACTCAGACTCGTCAGATGAGCCGAACATTTTATGGTGGAAAGTCTTTTTGACAACACCAGGAGACTTAGCAGTCGTCCATACCGAACCCACATCTTTACTGAGCGCTTTGCGGGCGATTTAGAGTCGGACGGAGGTACGACTCGCCCGAATCGACAAACTGTATTTCGAGGTCAACGTCCATGCGACTACCACCCGCAGCCGAAGTTGCGGATGAAGAAACTGCACGTGAATGACAACGTGTAACTGCAACATTGGGTGTTACAGGGTGCTTATCAGCAGCAGCAGGAGATGAGACGCCTGCTGCCGAGCCTTGGCTGGCTTGCTCTCCGGCTGCACGCATCCGTGCAGCCGCTTTATTGGGCGGCCTCGTTCGCGCAGCGCACGGGCGAACTCGTCGTGCGCTAAAAGCTGGAATGAGTTGGTCAAAACCAACAAGTGCTCCCTTTCCCACAGAGCGACAAACGGTGGTCACTCTGTTACCAATCAAATCAAACACTCACTTTTGTGACTGATGGTTAAGGGGGGTAACGGGGTGAGTCAGGTACATAAAATTGATACTAATGTATCATTTTTTGAACATTATTTATATATATTATTTAATTGATATAACTCGATATGAGGTGATGTAAGTGGACTACTACCCCGATGGTAATATTCTTGGGTGCTCCACTTATTGGTTAATGTGCACGGTACATCATCAAAATTATCCACCAATTGCTGCTGGACGCGCGCAATGGGTGGTGAGCAAGAAACGCACATGGGAGATTGTAGTTCAATATACTTAATCATGATTAAGATGGTTTATCAGGAAGACTTAGCTAAACCAAATTCAGTTCTACCTTTCCTTTAAACAGAGCTTTCGAGTTATGTTTACTTCCTCGCGCTTCTTCACGCCACGTGTAAGTGAAGTCGGAAGTACGCAGCCTTGTGTTCAGAACGCAGTCATTCTTTAAAATTCGTGACAACTCTGCATTTCTGGAACGCACAGGTATGGCCCATCAAAAGCGTGCAGTGCACGTGGTGAAACCTGCAGTCGCACTGCTGGTGACAGACCAGTTTCGTCGGCAGTTAAGTATCTATCATGCTGGCGTGCTTGCGCTGCAACCAGGAACCGGGACCGACGTTGTTTCTGACGAGCTCACAGATGACGGCGCACGGGCACTGCTGTCTGAGATGGATGCCCGCGTGTTGAGCTTGCCGCTGGATGAGCTCTCGTCCTTCTTGGAATCACGCGAAATGTGGTTGAAAGACACAGGAAAGCATGCTCGCGGTCAACTGGCAGAGATGACAGAGGGTAGCCTTGCTGTCGCGCTGGACGACTCGGAACCTGCTCAGACGGGTGACCTCGACATTGTGCTAGTGGCGGTGAAGCGGTACAATTCCTGCTCGATCGTGTCATCTCCTTCAGCGGCTGCGCGCGTCAAGGATTTTCTTGAAGATCTGAATGATGCAGGTGGAGATGGTGAGGATGGCTATGACTCGCTCGAAGACGGGTGCAATCGATAAGTGGTAACGTACACGACGTTCTGACGCAAATGATTTGCTTCACACTGTCCAATCGTACTTGTCAAGAACAACAAAGACGCGAAAATGCTCGACCTGTCGCAAGTAAATCGATACGCCTGGCTGACACATCGAAAGTTGCGTCACATAGACAAGTTGCATCGCACACACGTCCTTCGCGCAAACGACCTCACACGTGACCGTTGTCCTCGATATGCAGAACAAGGACCCGCCCGTATTGTGCATTGAAGTGTCACTACGCTTTCGGTGGTGGATGAAACGAAAGCTACCGCGATACAGCATTTACTTGGTTGTAAGGCGGTTCAAAAATCCTGCGTCATACGCACAGAGGACGTTTCAGAAATGCTGCGGATCTCGCATGGAAGTTTACAACCTACCAGACACATGCACACACTTACCAAGTAGAGCAATCACACGCGTCTACAGTCTGCTTTGTGACTTTTGAGCCCCTCGTAGCTACCATGCTACTTTCGTAGAACTTGTCCGTACGCAGCCTCTCATCAAAGTCTTTGGTCGCATAGCCGATGATGAGAGCCTACGTACGGACACCGCATATGAGCTGATGCAAAAGATGTAGCGCTATGTCATCATCCCGATTGACACCCACCTCCTCGCGACTCGAGAAGCACATCACGTGAGTTCGACGGCATTTGTTGTTATCACTACAGCACGCCCGCGCACAATGTGCATTGAGAACTGTTTGTAAAAGTACTAGAATTCCTCGTCTCTGAACATGTTGAGGTGGGCGAGCACGAGCATACGCATTTCTGGGCGTAGATGACCCTGCTGTCAAATGACAAATCAAAGTGCTCGATGAATCTGCGCAATGCTGGCCGTGGGTGAACCACATATGAAGCGCGTAAAAATGACCATTCAAGATGCAGAGTAACTTTGTTCGATCGAGTCCTCGTCGTCACGCCTGACCAGATGTAAGCTGCCTTGAAATGGTACAGGAGAGTGGGAATCCAATCGGTTGTGTCTTGCGCTGTCGGACGTTCCGATACAGATCATTCTTACGAGCAAAAACGTTTTGTGCATGGTTAGCGTCAGAACTTACCACATGTGCATTCATTTCGAAACAATAGACTCGGTAAGTGTGGGTTGATACAATATCGTGTGTAGTGCAAACACTTGCATGCGTCTGATGTTAAGAACCGTGTTGTGATGCCAAGCTCTCGCCAAGATCTTGTCCCAATCGAATGGTATGCAGTCCTTGTACATCTGGGTGAAAGAGATGATAACATGGGAATTCGGACTTCTCAGATTCGAGCTTGCAATAGAAGGGAGAGCTACAGACCCAGTGCTACAGACACGCTTTACAAGCTCGCTAGGATAGCAGAACATATCCTCAACATCGACGAGGAACTCACGGAAACCGTTTACATAACCGACTGCCTAGCACACAAAGAAATAGCGGCCAACAATGGCACGCATGGATTAAAGGGAGCGACATCGTCGAGTAGTGACGAGCCGGAAGTGTATGAAGAAGATTCATTGCACAACTCGCGAGCGGCGGTACAAGAAGCAGATGTAAATGAACCATCCCGGTCGGTGTCGGAATATGCTAATGCGCCAGCTCGATCCCAAGCACGCACAAGAACAGCGTCGTCTAAACGACAGCTGTCATCAACTACAACTTTACAAACGCCTATAAGGCGTTCAAGGCGTGAAACACGGTTGAATGTCAGGCTGAGTGGTTATCAGCTGATGGTAAAGAATGTAATGGATGAAGAGCCAACCACAGTGGAAGAGGCCTTGAGATCTACTCAGAGGCAAGAGTGGAAGACGGCCGTGCAAGCAGAATTTGATTCTCTATTGCGGAATGGAACATGGATCCTTGTCGATCGCCCAAAATGTAACCTGGGCACACCAGCCAAAATTCTCACTTCTCGGTGGGTGCTCCGTATTACGGTAAGATCTTGCGCTACAAGGCAAGACTTGTAATTCATGGTTTACATACGTTACTCTGTGCTTTGCTACGGTTGCTACCTACAAAGCGCTAAAGCTGTTATTCATGCTTAGATTTACTTACACGAAACATCCTCGAAATCGACACAGACTGCGAGTAGGTCCTTGCGTGCCCAAAGAGCAAATACGCTAGATAGTATGCGAACGGTGAAAGCCAGTAATTACGGCAGCTGCTTATGTGTGTCCGTGTTTGTCAGTGTGTCGGTGTGTCACGCACGCGCACTTACACTTGCACGATTATATCAACAAGGATCAGCAAACTAAACAAAGCGAACGCTTGTTGGTTCAGGGCAGCAACCGTCTTGCGCCCCGATGACACAGCATCAGCAGATACACCATTCTCGGAACGGCTAGAGATTGTCGTCTGTAGAAACATTAGGTCTCATTGAAGCGCCCATGAGTATACCACGTCTATCTGATAGGCTTCGTGCACAGAGTCCTCGCACCAAACTGGCCTCCTTTTCTAGCGCAACCGCTATGATACGCGTCGAGCTCGTCGAAAAATGCATCATCTGGCAACTTGGCCGTTGGTCGAAACAGTCCGCACCTTCGTGTCTCGCCACTAATCTGCGTGACATTGTATATATGAGAGCTAGGCGCGCAGCGAAGATAGCTTCTGATGAGCAAACATGCCTTTCTGTAGACACAGTGGGTGTATCGTGGCTACAGAAGCACCCATCAAGGACCACAAGACACAGTGGACGTGTTCGAGTCGATAGTAGCACCAAGCAAGGACGCAAGAGATCGTGGGTATGTTGCATCACAAGGTAGTCCTCATGAAGATCTGATTGCCCACCTGTTTGGAAATAACGGGGTAGTACCAAAAGGCAACATCGACATGCATAACGCTTTCATTATCCTAGTTCCTTGCATGGCGAAAGCGGGAGAAATCAAATGGAAAATCTTCTCACTCGGCAGCTGAGACAGCTTGCTCTCTTCTCCATCGCACGATTCCATGTCGCCGGTCGCGTCTTCTTGTCGTTGCACAGGCAAGGTCAGCCGTCGTCTCTATTTTGACTCGTTCTTTCCTTGGACACGTCAGTGAAACAAACGAGTTCGCTCATCACACAACAATCACGGCAACATCGGTGTTATTCACCTCTCAACGCAACTCCCATCCTCCAGCCGCTGACTTTAATAAACGAAATGAGTCGATGCAAGCCACCGACCTGACCTGATTACTTGTACATCGAAGACGAGGTCTAGAGCTTGCTCCTCTATCTTTCGTCGGCGACAAATCAATGATAAGCAACTGGATCGATGCGGGCATGTCGACTTTCGGCTAAGCAATCATTTTGTCCACGACATTGATAAGGGAAATACATGCTGCATTGGATTGACACATGTAGCGGGCGTTCACGGATGTCAAGAGAAAGAACAAGGACGTCGGTTGAACGCTAGATTGCCAGTTCATCTGACGAACAACCAACACCTGCAGCTCTGTTCATTCATGACATAAGACGACGGCTTATGCTGCTACGGATGCAAGTCATTGTGCCGTAAAGATGTAGAGCGAGAGAATGCTCTGGCGTTTGGGGATACTTCGTGGGTACGTAAGTCATTACACTCTTCTCCAGAGAGTGCTTTGTCGCACCAAACGACACAGCTAACAAAGTTTATACCAAACGAGTTAAATGACGGCAGTAAAGCATGTCAAAAACACAAATAAAACCCCATCGAAAGTCTAGCTGGGCCGTCAAACTACAAAAAGCCCATCCTGCCCCAAAATAAGATGCGTCAAGAACCGAACTAACGTCTGTCCATAACACAAACACAACGTGTCCAAAACACGCAACTTTAGAAACCTCGAGGATACTGACGTCATGTCTCTAGCACATACGATCCTCGTGGTCTTTCTTGACGGCGAGCCAAGCGCCAGCTCGGCCGTCTTCAATGACGTAGCAGCACGCGGTTGCAGTGGATCCCTCGTACTCACGGAGCCTAACACGAGCGACTTACGAGCGTTGCTCGGCGCGCAGGGACGAGACGGTCGCTCCGTTTCTCGGTGAGCAGGGACAAGACGGTCGCTCCGTTGCGTGCGTCAGAAGCAGTTGACCACATTGTGCCTTTGTGGACGGACCTTAACACAAATGGCCGTTTCTCTTGTTGTAATGGGTACCGCCCAGTACCTATTTTTTCTACAGCACATCGGACGCCGCACTTCAAGTCGCCAAAACTGCAGGCGTGACGTCGGTGCGCCAAGTCTCGGAGCACGGAGCTGATACAAAGCAGGAGATCGTGTCGTTGCTGGCTGACCCCGACCTTGCCAAGGCTTTGGTCTTCGTGCACGTTGGAGTGGATAAGAACCAGAAGGCGCTGGCTGCCAAGTCTTGGATCAATACTATCGTGTCGGAGCTGACAGCACAGCAGCAGCAAGACGACGGTGGTAGCAGAGTCTTTGTGTCGATTGTGAAACCAGCCAATCGCCCGGTTTCAAAGCCGCTCGAGCCCCACCTTCTACGACCCCAGCAGAGCTACGAAAAGTGGGACCTCAAGTACCTGGAACACAGGGACGAGCAAGCTCCACGACGCCTCATATTCACGAGTTTCGACCAGGATGAAACTCGTCGTGATGCTGTGCAGGCGTTTAACGAAGCAGAGGTGGACAAGCTTGGCGGATACGGGGCAATGGATGCTCGCGTTTTCATGAAAGAAATGGCCTTTCGTCTTGGCTGCGCGCCTAAATATGGTGCTTGATCGCGCCTGTTGTACGGGATGGAGGCCATGGGTCTGGACTGCATACGTGGACAATGACAATGATGTCAGAATCATGGTAAGCCAAAAAAATGGATATGCTATCACGCTTGTCAAAGACATGTCGAGTCTACATTGATGCACACACGAGTGGTAGGAGCATGGGGTAGACAAAATTCTTGACACGCTATGCGCGATCAAAGCATACATGTTCTCGTGCACCTCGACTAGAACGGCGCTATTGAAAATGCAAATGATGTGCGATGTAGTCCAGCGCGCTCGTTGCATCGTCAGTGACCCCACACCATTGCATTGAAACGGCATTTCTGGATACTCGGAGTTCACGCGCACGAGCTGCACTCCGTCGTGGAGTGCAAGTCGTTCATCAGGAATGCGAAGCACGACAGGAGTGTTGAAACCAGCACCCACCCCGAGGATAACGAGCTTCTTGCTGTTGGTGTGCACTTGACCCATCACCCGCGCCAGCCATTTCTCGTACCTATCGCGCCCTTCTTTCACGCCACTATCCAGAAACGTATCGTCTTCACGCAAGAAAGTCGACATGCGGCCATTGCATGTAGGACACTTCGGAACACCTGTAGGGTCGTCAATTTGGTATGTCTCCGGATTGAAGCTCTGCATCCCTTTCTCCATAAATGGCTTGACATCCACACACTATCAGGAGTGCACGGCTGAGCACACTGAATGAGACCAAAGTCGCCTTGCATGACAAACAAGGCGGACGGATCAAACCCTTCTTGCTCCAATATGCCGTCTGCGTTGCTGGTCTTCGTGAACACTGAGCCTTTCTCCCGACACTCAAACATGTCCGAGATACTCTTCAGGTACGCATACGTCGGCGCTGATCGGTAACGCACTCAGTCATATCGAATGACGCTCGCGTTCTTGAAGAAGAAGCCCCACTTGAGCGAATCGTCCCAACGACGAAAGCCGATCGTGTTGGCCAGTGCCCGGAAACTGGGAATGGCTCGACGCACGTTGGGATGCAGCATGTCCATCACGTCTTGCGACCCAAAGTCAACACCAGCAGCAGCCGACAGTCCAGCACCGACTGACACCAACAAATAGTCGGCGTCTCGGATCGCCTCAAAAGCGCGTCGCAAAGGCGCAGGAACCGGTGCGCGAGGCAGTGACACACTACCCACGCACTTGCTCTCGATGTAGTCGACGTACATGTCGTAGTCGCGCTTCAGGAATGTGTTAAAGACCACCTTCCATACCCGGATCTCGTCTCGATGCGTTGCCAACCACTCTAGCACACTGTCCACCGCCAGCTGCACTGCAATGTCGTCCGGGAAGGCAAACAACCCTGTCGAAATGTACGGGAACGCAACGGTCACCGGCTCGTCGGCTTGACCACCCACTGTCTTCAACAGCGTCCGGGAAGGCAAACAACCCTGTCGAAATGTACGGGAACGCAACGGTCACCGGCTCGTCGGCTTGACCACCCACTGTCTTCAACAGCAAGTCCAGCGACATCCCGTAGCACGACTGCAACTGATCACGCTATGTAGCAGTAGGCTTTGCGCCTTGACGCAACTGCGGTCCAACAGTGTGCAGTACGTACGAAGCCGGCAGTGTAACGGGGTTACACGTCGGCTGGTAGCCGACGATAGGTGTGGTGCACACACGAGAGGGGGGTACCCTATAAGGTAATATTAGAACACAGTGAGCGTATCAATTGTTGAAGACTGGTGTCTGTCATCAATTGATTGCAAGATCTTTTAAGAGGTTATTTAGGGCAGGTTAAATACTTTGTTCTAAGGTGTTCTTTTAGGTTAAATGAAGAAATAAAATTCAGTTCCCATTTTGATCAACATAAGACACGTGCCTTTCAGGCGTCTTTGATCGGGAGGACAGAAGCAACGCCTGTAAAGGTAGCTTGTCCTCGAGCACTCTGTGCTGTGATTCATTTGAATCGTTTGGTCCCTCTGGAACGGGGACCGTAAGCTCTCTGAGCTGTTGACTCTCTGAGTCGGGTTCTCTGAACCACCCTTTAAGCTCTCTGAGCTGTTGACTCTCTGAGTCGGGTTCTCTGAACCAACCTTTAAGCTCTCTGAGCTGTTGACTATCTGAGTCGGGTTCTTTGAACCAAAGTTGCACATTGAGCGTAAAGTCTTCCTCTGACTTAAGGAGCTGTGTAGCTCCGCTACACTTGGTAGCACTAGTAGTCAATCTACACCTGAGTCGGTAACGACTGATCCTCTGCGAGGATGGAGCAATCCACACCCCTCTCTGAGGCTCAAAAGGTCGCGCTTGATAAGCTGACCGCGGCCGTAGGCCTAGAGTATGTAAAGTTTCTAGCTGCACAGGGTCCCGATGTGCTCAATGCACGAGTCGAGGCCTTTATGCAGTATGAAACGGCCCTGTTGGGTCAGGTTCAAAACCAAGTAGCGTCGGCTATGCCGACACGCTACGTGGCTATGCCACCAGAAGAGGCTAAGCCTCGTCCCCTCCGGGTGGACGTTAAACATTACTCCGGGAAGGAGGGGGAAAACTTGACCATCTGGATCCGTGAGATTGAGATGGCCATGGACTCTGGTCTCATCTCACTAGAGAACCAGCGGGTCTCTTTGGCCATCTCTAAGCTCGATGGTAGAGCTAGAGAGTGGGCTTTGACGTGTGGCACCTCAGTCAATTTGGCATTTCCCACGTGGGAATCGCTCAAGTTAGACCTCATGCGAGTTTTCTCGCCGCCTAACCAGGCATATCGCGTGCGATCACGCTTCTTATCAACCCGTCAGGGTAAGAGCGAGTTAACGGACTATGTCCAAGAGTTGAGAACTCTAATGGCTGCTATGCAGTCTGACCCTCTCCCTGAGACTGTCTACGTGACAGTTTTCATGGAAGGTCTCCGCACTGGCGTGGCCAGAACCGAGGTTTTTCGGGTTCATCCCTCTACTTTTGAGGAAGCTGTGCGCGTCGCTCAAAATGCTGAGCACAACTTTAAGTCGGCCAGACTTGGTTGGAATGGGTACAACCCAGGCTTTGCGAGGGCGGCCTCTGCGAGGACTTCGGCTTACTGTAAGCCAGAACCGATGGATCTCAGCCATGCTGAAGATGAGTGCGAAGCGGAGCTTCATGTTGCGGAGCAACGACAGGATGTGAGACGCTGTTACATGTGCGGAAGCACTAAACACTTGCGTCCCACTTGTCCATTGCGAAAGCAACAACCGACTCCTATGAGTCGAAACCCCAGCCTCAACCAGAAACCTGGTATGGCACGGGGAAACGTCGACACCCAGTAGGCGCGGGGCGGCCTACTGGGGTAGAACTAAGTTCTGTCACATCTCTACGAGATAAAGTGAAACAGGGCTTAGCCCCACTTAGCGCTGTGCCAGCCATCACAGAGCGTGGATACAATCCTGGCTTGTTAGTCGCCGAGGCGACAGTAAAAGGCTTTGAGAAGCCGTGGTCGATTTTAATCTATTCAGGAGCATCATGTAACTATGCTCGACGTCGTTCCCTTGAGGGAAGTCAGCGACATGCTGAGGCGCTCAAAGCGCATGAAGGTGATTCGATCACCGTTCGTTTAGCGACTGGTAGTCGCGTCACGGTGCCTAAAGTTCCGTTGAACTTAGGTGTGAAGTTTTTGGACTTTGACAGCATTATACGCTGTCTTGTCCTCTATTTGGATTCGAGATATGATCTCATCCTGGGTATGGCTTGGCTTGAACGCCATGAGCCATGGATTGATTGGAGGACTAAGACCTTAGGCGCCACGCGCAATGTTCCTAGCGAAGCTTTGGAGAGTCATGAACCCACCTTTGCTAGGCAACAAAAGCGCTATTGGCGCGAGCCATTGACGGAAGATGTCAATGTGCTGGACATTGGTATGTCAGAGTTATTTAACTCGAATGTCGATGACATAAATATTGAGCGGAGCTCTTCTAACGCGTTTGGAGAGAGTTATACTCCGTTGAGTGATACTCGTTGTGATACTGAGTCACTGCATGCGTCAAACATGGTTGGCCTAGGGCCGAAACATCAAGAATGTAATTCCTCTGATGTAAGTGCGGTGGCACGTGAAATTCCACAGAGTGAGGACGGCCGAGGTGGCACCTCACTGAATGTCGGTAATGACATTGTTGGCGAGAAGCCAGAGTGTTCAGGGCTAGGCCCTAATGCTATAAGTGCGGTGGCACGTGAAATTACACAGAGTGAGGGCGGCCGAGGTGGCACCTCACTGAATGTCGGTAATGACATTGTTGGCGAGAAGCCAGAGTGTTTAGGGCTAGGCCCGAATAATGTACGTGAAGTGGTACGTGTAAATCGACTGGGTGAAGTGTTCGAGTTACGTAACACTTCACCAGATGTCGCTCAAGACATGAGCTCTCGTATAGAGCGTGCTAAGATGAATAGCAACCACGGGGACTTTGCTGTCCCGGCCTCTAAGAGGCGTAAGGTTTCTTTGAGGAAACAATCGAAGCGTAGGGTGGTGACTGTTAAGCGCCCAACGTTTAAGAAGTCACGAAGTGATAATAGTAATAATACACTGTAAGCACTTGTCAATGGATTGACTGGCCAGATCGATGGCAATATTAGTCTTGAGACTCTTCCATCCGTGGATAAAATCTTTAAGCTAGACGAGATGTCTGACGGCGAATTTATTCAAGCCTTGCAGGCAGGAGAATTCTCCGAGTTAGTGGTCATTCGGCCTGATATTGAGTTGAACTCATCCTCGTTATTGGACGAGTCTGTCCTTGAAGACACCAAGGCGGCATTGGATGCCCGTAGTGGATCCTCGATCCTTAAGGATTTTCTTGATCTGTTTTATCCTTTGGTAAAGGAATTTCAAGACGTGGTGTGTCACGACTCACCGTCTGTATTACCTCCCCATAGAGGTGTACGTCATGAAATTGACTTGGTTCCTGGAACTAAATACTGCGTAACACGGCAGTGGCCTTTGCCCAAGGAACAGTGTGACGTAATAGACGACTTCTTTCGTGCAAAGCACGCGGCGGGGATGGTTCGTGGGAGCAAATCTCCCCATTCCACACCGACCTTCTGTGTCAAAAATCCCAATGGGAAGTGGCGCATTGTTCATGCTTACAATAAGCTTAATGCTGCCACCATCCCGGCTCAGACACCAATTCCGAGGAAGGATGTTCTTCAGAACAATATGGTGGGATGTACAATTTACAGTGCGCTCGACTTGGTCGATGGTTATTACCAGCTTCTCATGCGAGAAAGCGATATTCCGCTGACAGCGGCCAGCACTCCAAGTGGTATGGTCTGGGAGTGGCTCGTTATGCCGCAAGGGTTATCAAATGCCCCGGCTACATTCAATCGTCTTGTGACACAATTGTTCAGACCTCACAGAGGTTATGCACAGACATACTTTGATGACATCTTTGTCCCTAGACGTGCTATGAACGGTCGGTCCGATGTGGATAAATATATCGACCATTTACGAGTGGTGCTCGAGTGCATGCGAACGAATAAGATGTACGCCAACGCGTCTAAGTGCATCTTTGGTGCAGAAGAGATTCCCTTTTTAGGGTGCTTTATTGGTAAGCGAGGCTTTCGAGCGGATCCCGCCAAGGTAAAAGCCATAGTCGATTGGCCAATTACAAAGAGTCAAAAGGACTTACGTAAGTGGCTTAGCCTTGCCAATTACTTGCACAAGTACAGTGCGAATTACGCAGATATGGCTCGGCCAATATCCAATCTCCTTAATAAGATGTGGAATGGTGCTGGACTAGCACCGAACATGATGCTTTTCAAGCAGTCAAGGAGAGTCTCCTTCATGCGCCCATATTGGCTTTGCCTGATCCTGATCGATATTTCCGTGTCGTATGTGACGCATCTGACTTTGCCATAGGCATAGCCCTATTACAGACAGATTCTAATTGACGAGAACGCGTCATTGCGTTTGAGTCCAGGCAGCTGAAGGCTGCAGAAAAGAACTATCCCGTTCATGACAAAGAGCTACTTGCAATGAAGTATGCTCTCGTCAAATTCATAGTTTATCTTCCTGGATCTAAGCCGTTTGTGACCTATACAGATCATGCGTCACTACGCACTGCGACCCAGTCGCCTCACATCTCAGAGAATGGCATGTTGGCTTTCCTTCTTTGCCGAGTACAACTTCGAGGTGAAGTATAAGCCGGGCAAGCAAAATGATTTGGCGGATGCGTTGTCACGCAGGCCTGACTATGAGCTTGCTCATGGTACGACTCTGTCGTCACCGGTTACTGACCTAATCCGCACGGAAATTGCCAAGGATGAACATTGTGTAGCTCTGCTATGTGCTCTAGGGTGCGAGAAGTTTAAAGACTCGGACATAAAATTGTCGGCACGGTTACGTGCGAGGTTACATCGATATTCCATCGATCAAGGCCTGTTGTGCTATAGCACGGATGTGGAGGATACCCCTCGCATCGTTGTCCCTCATGATGAAGCGTTGAAGTATCGGATCCTCTATGAGGCACATGATACTGCGTTGAGTGGTCATCTCGGTCGTGAGAAGACCTACGGCTCTGTGAGCCAATTCTATTGGTGGCCCAAACTATACAAATGGGTGAGCACCTATGTACGTACGTGTGAAACGTGTCAACGGGTGGAACCCTCACCACATGAGTCCGCGCCGCTGGCTAGTTTGCCTATACCCAAAGGATGTTAGGAGTCTATCAGAATGAATTTCCTGTTCGGTTTACCGACGGATTCGTATGGAAATACGGGTATTGTGGTCTTTGTTGACCGTTTGAGCAAGATGGCTCACTTGGCGGCGGTGCCGGATACCATTGATGGTGAAGGTACAGCGACGCTGTTTATCGATCGCGTGTTTCGACAACACGGTCTGCCGTTGGCAATTGTCTCTGATAGAGATCCTCGCTTCACTGGGAAGTTTTGGAATTCCATCTTCAAGGTGCTCGGCACACGTTTGGTCATGTCCACAGCGGATCATCCGCAGACCGATGGTCAAACGGAGCGCGTTAATCGTGTCATTGGTGACATCTTGCGCAGTGTTTGCGCTGAAACACCTAGGCGTTGGATCTCGATGCTCCCTGTCGTTAAGTTTGCGTTGAATAACGCTGTGCATGCCCCCCTCGGATTTACCCCGTTCTACGTGAACGGTCTCACACACCCTCGCGTTCCGTTAACGCTACCACTACGTGGTTCAGGGCTTGGTGGGGGAGGAGTTGCCGATCGGCTTGCTGATATCAACCCTGCTACTGTTCAAAAACAGGTAAGCGAGTTTCTCGCAACGCGATTGAATGTCTTACGACATGTGCGTGACGCACTGGCTGATAGCCAAGATAAGCAGAAGAAACAAGCAGATGCCAAAGGCAGAGGTTGTATTGAACGTTATAAGGTCGGAGACCAAGTTCTACTCAATGCTAAAAACCTACCTACAAATGTAGTATCCGCCGTCTTCAAGACGAAGTTGCGCCCGCGATTCATTGGACCCTTTACGGTCGTCGCCAAGAAGGGACTTGCGTATACGCTCGACCTTCCGCGCAAACTGCGCACACACCCCGTGTTCTACGTTGGCATGCTTAAGCCGTATCAGGATCCGTCCCACGTGAACTTGGAGGCGCTTGCGCCGGGTAGGTTGGCTTTGCCATCGGTTGCTGAATCCGTATCAGGAGGTCAAGCTGAGCCTCAATCTGGGCTTGGCTCAACTCCAACGCCCGAACACGGGCTCGCATTGCGTCGAACGCACTCTGGGTCTGACCCAACGTCTCACGGAGACCACTCAGCTCGAGAAGAACCTTCTCGTGCTCCTCCTTCGGTATACCGACCACCTCCGACGCTGCTCGATGAGCAAGGGAACCGCCAGTTCCATGTGGAACGACTCCTGAAACGACGTCGTCGTCAGGGTCAATACCAGTATCTGGTAAAGTGGCGTGGGTACCCGGAGTCGGAGAACTCGTGGGAATTTGAGGTACCCCTTCGGCAGGATTGCCCGTACGCCGTTGATGTTTTTGAACATCGTGGCAGGGGTCATCCTTCGACCGATATCGCTTCCCACCAATAGTGGTTGAAGCAGGTGGGTAGTTGGGTGCCGCTTGACCAACTCCCACTTCCATCGGCACAGCCGGAGCATAGCGCGTGCGAGTTCGCAACTGGCCTCTGGCCTTTAGCTTGGCGTAATCATACCGAAGCTTTCGTTCGAGACGAACATCTGCCACATCGGCACTTGCTATGAGAGCTAACACGCTGCTGAGGTGTCGTTTCCGATGCACCCAGCGAACAAAAGTGTTGTCCTCCTCCTCCGGAGATTCGCCTGCGAATAAGAGGATGGGTATACCCCTCATCGGTGTCACCGGTGCACCCCGTGCTTGCGTGTCAAGTCGCAACTTGTATTGGATTAGAGTCGTCAAGTGGGGTTGCAGGTACCTCTCACGAAGTGCCTGTCGGCTCGCCACTTCATCAGAAGATGTAGGCTCAGCGCCAATGGCCCACGTTGCCAGGGAACGACCTGTCGTTTGGCGTATAACGCTCTTCCACATTGAGTGGCGTGAACTGATAGCCACGACGACCCTCAAGGTCTGCAGCAAGCTGCATACGGCGCTGAGCGCTCTCCTCTTGTTGGATAGCCAACTCTTGTTGCTCATCGAGCGGGTTGGTGATGATGTGTTCACCTGCATCTGTTGCATGATGCTGCGTTTCTAACGCGGTGGTCTCACTACGCTCGGCAAATGGGTTTGGTGCAGTATGAGGCGATGCCTCTTGCACTGGTGAGTTGGACATTGTCCGTTCTTCACCACGGACGTCGGTATCACTACCATAAGTATCCTCCACATTAATGCCGAGGTAAGAAGAGAGATTCGGGGACTCGTTAGGTGACGATGCCATGGTGTTTCGTGCTTTGCAAACCGTGAGGTTAGAGCGCACACACACCGTCCTCTTCGAGGAAAAGTTCGATTGACGTTTTGTGGTAACGTCAGTCTGGTGGGGGAGGGTGTAACGGGGTTACACGTCGGCTGGTAGCCGACGATAGGTGTGGTGCACACACGAGAGGGGGGTACCCTATAAGGTAATATTAGAACACAGTGAGCGTATCAATTGTTGAAGACTGGTGTCTGTCATCAATTGATTGCAAGATCTTTTAAGAGGTTATTTAGGGCAGGTTAAATACTTTGTTCTAAGGTGTTCTTTTAGGTTAAATGAAGAAATAAAATTCAGTTCCCATTTTGATCAACATAAGACACGTGCCTTTCAGGCGTCTTTGATCGGGAGGACAGAAGCAACGCCTGTAAAGGTAGCTTGTCCTCGAGCACTCTGTGCTGTGATTCATTTGAATCGTTTGGTCCCTCAGGAACGGGGACCGTAAGCTCTCTGAGCTGTTGACTCTCTGAGTCGGGTTCTCTGAACCACCCTTTAAGCTCTCTGAGCTGTTGACTCTCTGAGCCGGGTTCTCTGAACCAACCTTTAAGCTCTCTGAGCTGTTGACTCTCTGAGTCGGGTTATTTGAACCAAAGTTGGACATTGAGCGTAAAGTCTTCCTCTAACTTAAGGAGCTGTGTAGCTCCGCTACAGGCAGGGCAAAGCCCGACGTGATCTGTGCGTGTCCGACCGGTTCTTCGTGGCCATGGCGGGTAGCGATCGCGTGACATGCTGCACGCAGTCGTGGACCGGCCATGCTGTGAATCGCATTGTCGATGCACTTGTGCGACGGATAAAAGCAGCCGAGCGGTGCCGAGTTTGGGGCATTCACAATCGCCGTCGCCTTGAGTGTGGTGATGTCGCCTTTCCACAACGCAATCTGCTCGAAGCCACGATCGTCTCCTTCAGACAAAGACGGTAGCACGGTCGGTATCTCCTGTGCACTCACGATAGTCTTGTGGCTCTTGAGCTCAAGCTCAAGCAAAGTGTCTACTCGACGAAAGAGCTCCTCATCGCCTTCATCATTATCACCACCGCCGGAGCTGCTGCTTTCGGATGGCCCGCGGACAACGAGCAATTGACGCACCATCTCTCGCATGTCAGAGACCGAGGCGTCGTGAAGGTAGTGGTGCGAATGTCCTGCCTCAGTGAGCAGTGTGGAAGCTATTGACTGGAGCACCGAGTGGTAGCGCTCGGACGGAAGTGATGACAGAGCCGTAGTTGCGTTGTGGTGGGCGTCTTTTGTCTGCAGGGGACGCGACCAATTAATTGAACAGTGACTGCCACTCGCCCGAAGAGGCGCTGGAGACGCAAGTGAATGATGGGCGGTACTGGTCCTGACCACGTGCTCTTGCATTGAGCCACCCGGGTCCAGACTTTCGTCCCGTCCATCGTTCGCCTGGATGACGTTGGCGAGTAATCTATTCACGAGACTTGTTTGCGGGTGTGCCCGTAACCCTCGGACCATAGTTACGTGACATCGCAGTATCTTTACCTCTTTTCATTCGGTCTTTCATTTTTGTTGATGACGTGACTGCTGACTTAGACTTGGCAATTCGTGATTGACTGCAATGTTTTGGTATAGAGCTGGACCGACGTGGTGCAGCCGGACGTATAAATCTGGCGGGTAGAGGTGACGGCCGTCCTGCCGTGACGATCGTGCGAGGTATCTGCTTTAGTGTGCCGCATCTATAGCCTGTAACATTTTCCGATCTATGCAAGCAAAGATTGGTGAGCCTCTGCTGTAATCTTCGCCTGGTCTGCAAAAAAAGACTGGTGAGCTTCTGCTGTCATTTCCGCCCGGTGTGCAAGAAAAGATCGGCGAGCCTCTGCTGTCATTTTTGCCTCGTGTGCAAGAAAATATTGGTGAGCCGCCGCTGTCATTTCCGCCAGGTGTGCACGAAAACATCGGTGAGCCTCTGCTGTCCATTCCGCCTGGTGTGCAAGAAAAGATTGGCCAGCCTTTGCTTTCATATTCGCCTGGCGTGCCAGAAGAAATCTGTGAGCACCTGCTGTCAATTCTGCCTGGGCTGCAAAAAATTGGCAAGTCTCCTCTCCTATTTCTGCCTGGTGTGCAAGAAAATATTGTTTAGCCTCTACTCTCAGTTCCGCCTGGCGTGCAAGAAAAAAATTGGCGAGCCTTTGCGATCACGTCCGGTCCATTTTCGGGTATCATTTGCAGCTCGATATTCATCAATTGTGCATCTTGCAGCAAATCCTTTGGTTCCTTGTCTGTCGCTTCTAGATAGTGTCGGAGAGCAATCTGATCGAATTCTCGCCACTTGTGCACAGGAAGGTTCTCGACCGCGGGCAGGTTCGATTGTCGCCCATGCATCATGTCCCCGAGATGAGCAACTGCGCTGTTAATTGATGATGGAATCCATGGCTCTGTCATCCTCTCTTCACCCGCCGTGGTCTCGTGTGGACCCAGCCCCTGCTCAACAGGGACGTCATCGCAGCACGCGTCAGAGGAACGAAGACTTGCCGAGGGAGCACCTTCCGTCTTCGTCGAGTTGGACGTCTTCCCAGAGGTCGCGCTGTGCGCCAGAACTGCATCGAACACGACGAGCGTGAACGTGTGGAGGCGCATCGTCGGTGATGTCGTTGTCAGTCTCGAGCGAGTCAGGGAGCAAATGGTAAGGTGCCAACAAGTCCGAGTTGCACATCCGCTTTCTTGAGAACAGAGCGCCCAGAATGTAAGGGGTCGAGCCTGTTAGATATTATATTATAATTTGTGACAATATGATGATATAGAATAGTAAGCTTAATATCCTCACTACAATAGCACTAAGCTCAGTGATATTGTTGCCGTGACCCATGGGTCTATCAATGGTTGATATTCCATGTTATCAACCCACCAATCGCTGCTAGACGCGCGCAATGGGTGGTGAATAGACGTCACTATACATGCTTTGGTAGTTGTATAGGTAAGTAAGACTAATAGGACAGGATACATATTTGGGACTTAAATATATTAAAGGAGCCGCTATTTACCACTCACTTTTCGCTAACCACCACTCACCCTCCATTTAGAATAACAAACCGCTATTCACCACTCACTTGTCGCTTACCACCATTCACCCTCCGTTATATAAATATTGTGATTTGCTCATTAAATTAGCATTATAAAACACACTAATACTGATCTCGTTCGCCTAAAACCGAACGACCTTTATTATTACTGTAGCGGAGCTACACTGCTCATAAAGTCAGAGAAAGACTTAACGCTCAATGAGCAACTTTGGTTCAGAGAACCCAAATCAAAGAGTAAACAGCTCAGAGAGCTAAGGTTTGGTTCAAAGAACTCGACTCAAAGAGTCAACAAGCTCAGAGAGCTTACGGTCCCTGTTCCAGGGGGACCAAACGATTCAAAGAATAAACGCACAGAGTGCACAAGGAGTAGCTACCTTAACAAGGAGTTGATATCTCTTCCGATCAAGACGCCTCGGAGAGGAACGTGTCTATCGAATCAATATGAAAACTGAATTTTATTTCTTCTTTTAATCTAAAAGAACACCGTAGAACAAAGTAATTAACCTACTCGCTAATATCCTGAAATAAACCTCTTAAAAGATATCGTAATTAATGGTTGACAGACATCAGCCTTCAACAATTGATAATGTGTTCTAATATTACTTTATAGGGTACCCCCCTCTCGTGTGTGTATTCCACCTTTTGTCGACTACCGGTCGACGTGTAATATCGTTACACCCTCCCCCACCAGACTGACGTTTCCACAAAACGTCAATCGAATTCTTTCCTCGAAGAAGACGGTGTGTGTGCGCTTCAACCTTACAGCTGGCAAAACACAAAACACCATGGCATCACCACCCCATGAGTCCTTGACTCTCTCAGTCTACTTCCTTGGCATCGATGTGGAGGAGGATTATAATAGCGATAACGATATCCAACGTGAAGAGAAGACAATATCCGACTCACCAGTGCAAGAGGCACCGCCTTATACTGCACCTAACCCATTTGCCGAGCGTGGTGAAGCCAACGCGCCATCGGTGCTGCATCAAACACCCATCGTGGGCGATGCCATCATCACCAATCCGCTCAATGAGCAACAAGAGTTGGCTATCCAACAAGAGGAGAGCGCTCAGCGCCGTATGTAGCTTGCTGCAACTCTTTAGGGTCGTCGTGGCTATCTGTTCACCCACTCAATGTGGAAGAGCGTATACGCCAAACGACATGTTTTTCTTGGCAACGTGGGCCATTGGCGCTGAGCCAACATCTTTTGATGAGGTAGCGAGTCAACAGGTACTTTGCGAGAGGTACCTGCAACCTTACTTGGCGACTCAGAGCCAACACAAGTTCCGAATTGACAAGCAAGCACGGGGTGCACCGGTTAAACCGATGAGGGGTATACCCATCCTCTTATTCGCAGGCTAATCTCAGGAGGAAGAAGACAACGCTTTTGTTCGCTGGGTGCATCGGAAACGACACCTCAGCAGCGTGTTAGCTCTCATAGCAAGTGCCGATGTGGCAGATGTTCGTCTCGAACGAAAGCTTCGGTATGATTACGCCAAGCTAAAGGCCAGAGGCCAGTTGCGAACTCGCACGCGCTGTGCTCCGGCTGTGCCGATTGATGTGGGTGTTGGTCAAGCGGCACCCAACTACCCACCTGCCTCCACCACTATTAGTGAGAAGCGATATCGGTCGAAGGATGACCCCTGCCACGATGTTCAAAAACATCAACGGCGTATAGGCAATCCTGCCGAAGGGGTACCTCAAATTCCCACGAATTCTCCGACTCCGGGTACACTCGCCACTACATCACATACTGGTATTGACCCTGACAAAACCCGTAAATGGTCCAACGAATTGTGGACGCAACTTTGTCTTAAAGACGGCGGACACTACACGTGTAAATAAATTTTTAGTATTCAGTCGAACTTGGTCTCCGACCTCATAACGTTCAATACAAGCTCTGCATTTGGCATCAGCTTGTCCCTTCTGCTTGTCTTGGCTATCAGCCAGTGCGTCACGCACACGTAGTAAGACATTCAATCGCGTTGCGAGAGACTCACTTGTCTGTTTGTGAAGAGTAGCAGGGCTGATATCATCAAGCCGATCGGCAACTTCCCCCACCACAGGGAGCATGGAACTCCAATGTTTGGGTGTATTAGCGCAAACACTGCGTAATATGTCGCCGATAACTCGATTCATTCTCTTGGTTTGACCATCGGTCTGCGGATGATTTATTGTGGACATGTACAGCACTTTAAAAACAAACTGTTAAACTTCCAAAAAATCGAGGATTTTGGTCAGAGAAAATTGCCACAGGCAAACCATGTTGTCGAAACACGCGATCGATAAACAGCGTAGCTGTACCTTCATCATCAATGGTATCCGGCACCGCCGCCAAGTGAGACATCTTGATCAAACGGGCAACGAAGACCACAATACCCGTATTGCCATACGAATCCTTCGATAATCCGAACAGGAAATTCATTCTGATGGACTTCCAGCACCCCTTGGGTACAAGCAAACTAGCCAGCGGCGCGGACGCGTGAGGTGAGGGTTCCACTCGTTGACACGTTTCACACGTACGCACATAGATGCTCACCCATTTGTATAGTTTGGGCCACGAATAGCATTGGCTCACAGAGCCGTAGGTCTTCTCACGACCGAGATGACCACTCAACGCAGTATTATGTGCCCCATAGAGGATCCGATACTTCAACGCTTCATCATGAGAGACAACGATGCGAGGGGTATCCTCCACATCCGTGCTATAGCACAACAGGCCTTGATCGATGGAATATCGATGTAACCTCGCACGTAACCGTGCCGACAATTTTATGTCCGAGTCTTTAAACTTCTCGCACCCTAGAGCACATAGCAGAGCTACACAATGTTCATCCTTGGCAATTTCCGTGCGGATTAGGTCAGTAACCGGTGACGACAGAGTCGTAACATGAGCAAGCTCATAGTCAGGCCTGCGTGACAACGCATCCGCCAAAGCATTTTGCTTGCCCGGCTTATACTTCACCTCGAAGTTGTACTCGGCAAAGAAGGAAAGCCAACATGCCATTCTCTGAGATGTGAGGCGACTGGGTCGCAGTGCGTAGTGACGCATGATCTGTATAGGTCACAAACGGCTTAGATCCAGGAAGATAAACTATGAATTTGACGAGAGCATACTTCATTGCAAGTAGCTCTTTGTCATGAACGGGATAGTTCTTTTCTGCAGCCTTCAGCTGCCTGGACTCAAACGCAATGACGCGTTCTCGTCAATTAGAATCTGTCTGTAATAGGGCTATGCCTATGGCAAAGTCAGATGCGTCACATACGACACGGAAATATCGATCAGGATCAGGCAAAGCCAATATGGGCGCATGAAGGAGACTCTCCTTGACTGCTTGAAAAGCATCATGTTCGGTGCTAGTCCAGCACCATTCCACATCTTATTAAGGAGATTGGATATTGGCCGAGCCATATCTGCGTAATTCGCACTGTACTTGTGCAAGTAATTGGCAAGGCTAAGCCACTTACGTAAGTCCTTTTGACTCTTTGTAATTGGCCAATCGACTATGGCTTTTACCTTGGCGGGATCCGCTCGAAAGCCTCGCTTACCAATAAAGCACCCTAAAAAGGGAATCTCTTCTGCACCAAAGATGCACTTAGACGCGTTGGCGTACATCTTATTCGTTCGCATGCACTCGAGCACCACTCGTAAATGGTCGATATATTTATCCACATCGGACCGACCGTTCATAGCACGTCTAGGGACAAAGATGTCATCAAAGTATGTCTGTGCATAACCTCTGTGAGGTCTGAACAATTGTGTCACAAGACGATTGAATGTAGCCGGGGCATTTGATAACCCTTGCGGCATAACGAGCCACTCCCAGACCATACCACTTGGAGTGCTGGCCGCTGTCAGCGGAATATCGCTTTCTCGCATGAGAAGCTGGTAATAACCATCGACCAAGTCGAGCGCACTGTAAATTGTACATCCCACCATATTGTTCTGAAGAACATCCTTCCTAGGAATTGGTGTCTGAGCCGGGATGGTGGCAGCATTAAGCTTATTATAAGCATGAACAATGTGCCACTTCCCATTGGGATTTTTGACACAGAAGGTCGGTGTGAAATGGGGAGATTTGATCTCACGTACCATTCCTGCCGCGTGCTTTGCACGAAAGAAGTCGTCAAAGACGTCACACTTTTCCTTAGATAAACGCCACTGCCGTTTTACGCAGTATGTAGTTCCAGGAACCAAGTCAATTTCATGACGTACACCTCTATGGGGAGGCAAGACGGACGGTGGGTTGTGACACACCACGTTCCGAAACTCCTTTACCAAAGGATAGAACGGATCAAGACGGTCCTTAAGAATCAACTATCCACTACGCGCACTAAGTGTCGCCTTGGTGTCTTCAAGTACAGACTCGTCCGATAACGAGGATGAGTTCAACTCAATATCAGGCCAAATGACCATGAACCCGGATAATTCTCCTGCCTGTAAGGCTTGGCTAAATTCGCCGTCAGACATTTGTTCAAGGTGAAAGAGAGTATTTAAGGATGAAAGAGTCTCATGACTAATATTGCCATCGATCTGGCCAGTCAATCCATTGACAA